CTGCAAAGAATAGCAGATCATCAGTATTTCCATTGTATAACTCATAAGTTGAACCATCTGTGTAGTGAATAACTGCAGTCAGCAAGTTATTAAAAACACAATGGACACCCTGGAAAAACTTGCAATATTTTTCAGCTTCTCACCAAAATGCCAGAACCTTCTTGGAGATAAAGTGAAAGAGCTCTGCCCAGGATCAGAGGGAGAAATTGCTGAACATGTGTCACAAGGTGGATAGCCAACACAGATGCCATTGAGGGCTTCCTAAAGGAAAATAAGAGACTCAACACCCACTAATTTTATTTTAGATGGCCCTGTTTGGAAGTCAGACAGTTTTAGAAGTTAAGAGCCGCCCAACACACACGTACAAACATCACACACACACTCATGTCATGTACCCTTACACTGTAATTAAGCACATCATTTTACACACACACACACACTCAATTACAAAAATAATGCACAGGCAATAATAAAAAAAAAGTATCTGCAAAACAATCTATTGCACTTACACAAAAAAACACCAATAATATTTGGCATTGTACTTACATGCGTACATACACAAATAGGCAAAAAAATCAATAATAATAATTCACAGACTTTTACATACTGTACTGTACATGCACATAGCACACTGTATATACTCTACTCATCTGGGGGTGTTGACTGCAGAATGCCATGTCACACTGGGTACAGTAATAACATCAGAGTTTACAATGCCAAGGCCTTCAGTGTCAGATCAAACAAGGTCATGGACACGTGAGTGTGAAATGTAGTGAGGTGCTGCTATTACAGTCCTTAATCATCATTATTTTTTATTCTCCTTCTATTAGGTAGCTATAGAAGTACAGTACAGTACTGGTATAGTTTGGCATGTACCTATATACCAGTACTATAGATACCATACAGGTAGTACCGGGTAGGCAGCTAATAAGGAGGGAGGTACTACCACCTGGTAGGATATTGGAAGCATAATGTGTTGTCTAATGATAGACCCTGCTGCCATATGGCACCACAAAAATTGTGACCAAGTCCCAGGTTGCTAATCTGACTTTCTGCCACATTTACACACAATTGCAGGGTCTCAATTGTTTCTCTTACTTTGATAACACAACATACATAATTTTATATAATTTCTCTCTTGATTTTTTTCTTTTTTATTGTTATCATTATTATGTTATTATTATTTTTAATTGTGTATTTTTTATTATAAATTTTATTTACTATGAATTAGAATTATTATTAACATTTTTGCCCCCCAGGCCCCGAAGTGGGTCAGTGACCTGTGCCCAGGTGGGCTAATCCCTTTTTATATATATATATATATATATATATATATATTATATATATATATAAAGGGATTAGCCCACCCGGGCACAGGTCAAACGACCCACAACGGAGTCTGGGGGGCGAAAAAAAAGAACGGAAAGAAATTGAAAATATAGAAAAAAAGGTTATACTGTATTAATCTACACCACGAAGTTGCCGGAAAACCAGCTTTTTAAAGTGAGACAGATTGTAAGAGCATGGAAACACAGAAGGCAGAGCATTCCACAGTTTGGCTGTGTGAGGAAAGAAGGAGGTACTATAACGGGTTATTCTCGTGTAACTGACATCCACAGAGAAATGGTGGGCACCGCGGGCAAGACGTGTGTTACGAACCCACGGCCTTGCTGGCGGTACACAGGATGCCAAATCCACTGAACATTGCCAGTAAAAGTACCTGTAAAAGAGAGAGAGTGAAGCAACATTGTGGCGAAGAGAAAGGGGAGAGAGATTGTCGACTAATGGAGGAGAGTTAATAAGACGAAATGCCTTTGATTCCACCCTATCTAATAGTTGGACAGAAGAAGAGCCACCCCAGATATGAGAGCAGTACACCAAGTTAGGACAAATGAATCCCTTATATACTTGGAGCAACTGCTCAGGAGTGAAGTAGCTGCGGCATCTGTACAGCATTCCCAACTTTCGGGAGGCAGCTTTAGTTATACTAAGGATGTGTGATTTCCAGGACATATTGGAGGAAATGGTGAGGCCTAACATATTTATTTCAGAATTTGGGAGGAAGATAGCGTCCTGAAATGTAATTGGTGGGAGATCGTCTACTTTACAAAGTGTAATTGGTAAATATTGAGTTTTGTTACTATTGAACTTAACCAAGTTTGTATCTCCCCATTCAGAGATGCTGCACAGATCCGCATTGATAGAAGTAATGATATCAGTTATAGAAACAGATCTAGTTTGAGAGTTAGGAGGAAAGGGAAAATGTGAGGAAGAGTGAAGAGTAGAATCATGGGCATAAGAATGGATAGAATTAGTTGTAGTGTGAAGTAAATCATTGATAAAAAGGAGAGAGAGAGTTGGTTTGTAATGAAAATGTGGCACACCAAGATATACGTGTTTTTTATATTCAGCTTTCTTTCTCCCTACATTCTAAATATTTTCACAAAGACCATACCATATTCAAGTATTTTAATATACTCTGTGTTATCCTCATGGAATGTTTATTGATGTATTGGCCTACACCTATTAAATTGACCGAATATTGTATACCGGTAGTAATATCAAATCAAACCAGTGATCACCCTACTGCCAGCTGCATGTACCGGTAAGTATTATAGTCAGAGTAAAAATATGCTTGCTATTGATTTGACAAGTGATTTGAAAAACTCCTCACAGTGAAATTATCAATACTGTACCAGTACTGTACATTCATTGGCAACAAATACTACCTTAATATCCTTCAGGCCATAGTACAAATTATTAATATAAACATGAAACACTGTATTTGTAGTCTACTAAAAAGTAGAACCATTAATATGAGAATAAAAAATAAATAAAATAAAACCTTTCATTTTAGTCAAATTTACTTAAATAAATACACTGGCTATTTTGTTGTGACCGGGTAAGTTCCTACTAATGCTATAATACCGTGAGTGTACTGATTGGCTGAGTAATTTCTGTTTAATATGACGAGGGGTCCTCTCCCCGGGTAGGACGTTAGGTAGGTTTCTTTGGTTAGTTAGGTCAGGTTTTATTAGGTTCTAGTAAATGTCGCCTCTTTTATAATGATAAAAACATCCGTAGAAAAAAATTACCTTAATTAAACAACTCCTGGTTAGGAATGTTTATAGCTACACAACGATCAATTCACGGTGAAATATTGGCCAAATCAAAGGAGGATTAAGGGGGGGGGGTGTCCTAGGGGTCCAGACTCCCCCTGTTTCATAAGAAAACTGCAATAGGTTTTCTTTATTGCAGTAATGTACCCAGGCATTTTTGTGAAATAAAACGTAATTACAATTAACCTCAGAATACTGTATCTCTTAATTTCAAGTGCACATGGCTTCAAAATGACCATAATATTTGTCATATTTCAAAAAAAATTCAGGGGAGGGGGGCTTACAACACCCCCCAGCTGGGTGGGCTCGCTGTGCTCACCGTGTTCCCCCACCCACAACATCTTGGACCCCCCCCCATTTTGTTATTCCTGGATCCACCCCTGCAAATGCCGCCAGAGTTAATCAAATATTGTTCTCGCCTAGTTTGCCAGTAATGGACGATTAGCCAATCACAGCACACTCACAGTAAAATAGCGTTAGTAGGAACTTAGCCGGTCACGGCAAAATATCCACTGCCAAATAAATATGAAGTAAGTACAGTACCATCTATCAAACCTTATTGAAAATTACTGTACTGTACTGAAGTTAGATTGAAATAAATTCTCTGGTCTTTAAAAAAAAATTTTTACTCATAAATATGGTTGTATAGAATTTTAAAAAAAGTATAGAATTTCAAAACAAATTGAGTCTGAAAAGTGATGACTAGTAAGGCTTGATCAGCTGAATTAGCTTTGTATCTACACTGTTCCTAAAAAAATTGCAGTCTGCATTGGTATGTAATCACTCCCAAGTTACAAGATTATCATACAATCACTTGGATAGTATATATATTCTGTGCCATGGGCCTAGCATTTTGTTATCTTTTAGTATACGGTATTAGTATACTTTGTATTTCTGTCATACTAATACACTGCAACAACTGTAGTGTAATATTCACTTAAATGTGTGTTCTGGTTGACAATGTTAAATACTAAAAATCACTTTCCAGATATAATTCAAGAGGCCTACAAGGGCCATAAACCTGAAACACTCATCTTAAGGTGGTCTGCTAAGAAATATTACAGGTACTAGAATCCATTAACACTTACAGCCTTAAGTACAACTTAATTGTAGTGCCCCTAAACTAACACATTACCCCTTATTATTACACTCATTATTATTATTTAACTCAATTTGTTATTTAATTGAATTAATTTCAAAATATTGCATAATGAAAAAAGTGGAGAACCTTCATATGTTCCCATGTGAGGATCACACTTCTATGTTTTGGTTGAAGAGGTGACATTGCCATCAAACAGAAACTCAGTCTTTTGTTAAAATATCTGCTTAACACTTCCTAGAATATTTGACATCACTTTATTGTAAATAAGTGTTAGCTACTTCAACTGACCTGTGTACTGACAACTGTATCACTGACGAAATCTGACATGAAAGAACTGGATGAAAGTTCACATACAAAAATACACCAAAAAACATCTAAATTGATTTTTTTACGAAAGATTCCTCTTCAATATTAATATTCTCATCTAATTCCATGGAAAGCTTTGTCAAGAAAGCTCACCTTAGAGATGTCAACAGAGTTACACCACTACCAACCAATGTTGAACCATGTAAAGTAATTTGGGATAAATAACACTTTAATCAACCATCCAAAGGTGACAAATCAACACGTTCTGGTCCCTATGTGTATAACTGTGGCCATGTGAGCAGACATTGGTGGGGCGGGATAGTGTTATGAGTCCCCCTGTGTCTCGGCCAGGTACGACCAGCCCCCTAACCACTCAGGTGGGCGTCACATTTCACCTATCTTAATATCATATACAGAATCCAAATTGAAGAAGTTAGTCATTTGAAGCCTGAGGTAAAGAGAAATGAACTCACCGGTGGGGTCCGATGATGGGAAGGAGTCTATCTTGGCCCGCTTGTTGGGCGGCTCGCTCCCCAGCTGCTGCTCCGCCATGGCGTCCTTGTTTACAACGCGCTCCTCAACACAAAACCGATGCCTAAACTACACACCACTTTTACACTCAATCCCGAGTTGCTAGCGTCCCCGCGCCACTCATATTGCATCATTACAACTCAATAGCACTATCACTCCACTTTAGGTGGGCATCCGCCGTGGATCGCCGGGAAAATTGTAACTTTGCGAGGCAGACATCTCCTTGGTGGGATTTCACAACTGAGCTCTGCAGCTTCACTGACCGCTGGCTCTACACTTCCCACACAAACCACTCCAACATCCTTACACTTTATCACATTTTCTACAGTTATCTGTACAGAAAGTGCTTCTTGCTACGCTGATGTTGTAAAATTAGCCGTCCATATTAACACAAAGTTACATTATCCGGCGACAAAAATATTTTGCGCCGAGTAGCAGTCAAACCAAAATGGCGGCTCACAGTGAAAACTTTTTCTACGCTTGTCAGAGAGTTTGGGAGCGAGTGGTCCTGCGCCAATACGGCCCCCGGATTGGTCTATTGGAGTCACGTGCACGGAACGCCACGCTGATTGGCCGCTGGGGAGAACCCGAGAGTGACGTCACAGACCCGAGCGGATCCGAGTCTTAATAGTTGTAAAGCTGACTGCGGCCCGCCGACTAGCCATCCTCAGCATCTTCTCTGCGCAACACTGCTAATACCCGCCATATTTAAATAATAGGTTATCTTTGATATATGAAGCACACGTAATGAGCTTATAAAGCCTGAAACGCTAGAGCAAGTCCATGATATAGTTATTACACAATATAATTAAGTTTATTGAAACAATCGCGTGAAGCAATATTTCTTCTTTTAACATTATAACAAAATAAAGTAATAACTTAGATTGAAGTTTCATTACGATACACTGAGTAGATTATCAGATACGCGTCTAATAACAATGTTAATTTCCCTGACGAAGGGCAATAAGTGCAAAACAAGACTGGGTGGTTGGGATCGCGAGATCAGCTGATCGGACAGGTTGCGAGAGGAGTTAAAGGGAGGGGGAGGACAGGAGCACCCCGTATGTAGGGGCACGACCTTCCACTGCTAACCCGATTTTCTCATGATGATTTTCACTATCCATATAACACGCAGTGTTCAGAAAATAAATATATAAGACAATGTAAAGTAAATAGTTTACATGCGGAGTATCTTCAGATGTATATACTTGTAATATAAATGAAAAAATAAATAAATAAAATAAATAGATAACGAAGTGATAACCGTGATAACATTCTGATGGGTTCTTAATAACACCACGTTACGTGTATTATTCCAGATAATGTTAAATGTTACAGAATACTTCCTTGAGATAAATGTACAGTATATAATTATCAGGTGCCACCAAGAGAGCTCAGGCTCTCAACTGGCTTAGCAATGCCAATATTGTTATTATTATCGACTGTGTATCTGTATTTTCTGATTAAATAAAGTTTCAATATCAATAACATACCCTATATGATGATATACAGTAGGTAATATCACACATAGGTAGTAAGTAGGCAGTAGTCAGCTATTAAACAGGGAGGTACTACCGCCTGGGAAGATATTGGAAGTATAATGTATTGTCTACTGGTAGACCCTGCTGCAAAATGGTATCACGAATATTGTGACCAAGTCCCAGGTTGCTGATCTGCCTTTCTGCCCCATTTACACACAATTGCAGGGTCTCCATTGTTTCTCTTGCTTGACAACACAACATACATATAGCGTTTCTCACTATTGATTTTTTTATCTTTTTTTCTTTGTATTTCTTTATTTTTATTATCACAGTGTTCTTATGATTATTATTGCTATCATTATTATTTTATTTTATATTTTATTATGAATTTTATTTACTATGAATTATCATTATTATTATTACATTTTCGCCCCCCAGGCCCCAATGTGGGTAGGTGACCTGTGCCCGGGTGGGCTAATCCCCGTAAAAAAAAAATAATAAATAAAAATAAATAAATAAATACAGTATATAAAAGCAGTGAACAGGAATACTCTTTAATCTACAGTAACTGTAGTGGTCTAACATGAAAAACTGAGCATTAATATCAGTTTATCTGTGGCTATTTTTGTTATTTTGGTATTTATCAATTTAATGTTACTTTTTCAGCAAACAACGAACTCGGGGTTTAATAAAGTTTCGCCTTTTGAAAGCTTATCTATTTGGCAAATCTTAGACTGAATCGAGTAAAAACAGTGTAACTTCGATTAAAAGATCACAGCGTCCTTTCCAATAAAGTTTGATGAAACAAATACAAATGAAAATTAAAGCTGAATATAGTTACCTTTACAAAGGTATGCAAAACGTTAATTTCGGACTTATGTATGTACTGCGGTATATAACAACGAACATATGGAGATTTTTTTTAATACAAAGCATCAAAGTTGTCACGCCTGGCCTACTGTATAACTTAAATTAGTCCCACCTCCAAGTTTTCTATAGCAATTGTGGAGATATTATCATCTTACAGTCGATTATAGTTCGTTTCTTATCGATATTGGGAGGCCTACAACACCACACCACCTACTAAACACCACATTTTTTTCCGGGTACTCCGGTTCCTCTTAGACAATTATCAAGAAATACACCAATTGCTTGAAAGGCTAGTAAGTAGATAAATAGTGTAATAATTATTATAAATAATTAAACAAGAGCAAATCAAACTTTGATATGAATGATGAGGTTTGTCAAACTGGAGTTTTCCTTTCGTCGATGAATCAGTAGACCCAAGTAAAATAGCCTCACACAATAATCCTTTGCATGCTGCAATATCCTCGAAAGGGCTATATGATTTTCATAATCAACAGTATTCTAGGATATTATAGCATATTATAAGCATACAACGACCTGCGGTATATTTCTTTTTCATGCAAAATTAAAACAAACAATTTGGTACCTGAACTTCTGAGTTTTTCAGCTTGACATGGTACAACAGCTAACAAGGAAGTAATCAGGTGAACAAGAATACCAGCAATCACTCTTTAAAAATATTCAACCAGTAGCTGTTTTCGTTGTCTCTGGTGTTCCCAACGTAACATCTGCATTCCTCACAAAAAAAAAGCGACTGATCAGCGACTAAAGTCAGTGGCAGTTGTAGGGGAGAGTATCCACTACAAGGGTCTTGAAGGGGGATCTTGAGAGGGTCATGTTTGGGGGTCTTGTGGGGGTCTTATCGGTTGTTCGGGGGTATTGTTGGGTGAAGTGGGGTGTTATCGGGGGTATTGATATTGTGGGGGTTGTTGGGGAGTGTTATAGGGGTGCTGTTGGGGAGTGTTCTAGGGGTGCTGTTGGGGAGTGTTATAGGGGTGCTGTTGGGGAGTGTTATAGGGGTGCTGTTGGAGGTATTGTTGAGGGACTTGTGTGGATGTCGTTTGAGGGTCTTGTGGAGAATATCATGTGTCTGTCATAGTTTTCTTTAACCCCGAAACCCTATCTGGTATCTTGGGGTTAACTGTTACCGTGACATTACTTGTTCAATTTTGGCTTACTTTACTTTTATCCTCTTCACCAGTGATCGGTTCGTTAGCCGCTTGGGTTATCGGTCACGTCTCTGTTACGCACTGTTGGCAAGTACTGGGCATGCACCGGTTCCTGAATGTACTTGAACCTGCTCCAGTGTTGGAAAAGTCTGGTCTTGAAAGAGCTCACACTCGGTACCGTCACAAAACTCTCTGGCAGATTGTTCCAAGAGTTCACAACTCTCACTCCAAAAAAGTTTGCCCTCACAGTTGTCTAGACGTGCGGCTTCTTCAACCTTGAGCTGTGACCCCTTGTGGGGAGAGCGTCCGCCAGCTCCAGGTAACGACACTCGATTGAGTAGTGCCCCTTGAGATGCTTATACACCTCAATTAGGTCACCCCTTGCCCGTCTGTAATATAAGCTAGGCAAGTTCAGGCGCTCCAATCTCTCAGGGTAACTGAGGTGCCGAAGTGCAGGCACGAGTCTGGTGGTTCTCCTTTGAACATTTTCAATCAACTGACAGTCCCTAGTATATCTCGCAATGGCCCGAGAACTACAGCTCATTGTCAACATACACACCCAAGGACCTTCTCATATTCAGTCTCAAATAGTGCAGTTTCTTCATTCCGTTGAGACATGATATGCCTCCTTGCCGTTGGTATGCCCCAGATGCATCCTCTTATACTTCGTGACATTGAATCTCAGCGGCCATTTCTTCGACCATTCTTGGAGCCCACAGAGGTCCTTCTGCAGCTCTTCACAGTCCGCTTGGTTCTTAATTTCCCGAAATAACTTGGCGTCATCCGCAAACATTTGTATGGAGGAGAGTACAGCGTCAGGCATGTCATTTATGAAACAAACAAACAACAACGGGCCTAATACACTGACTGCCCTGTGGTACCTCGCTTGTGACAGGTACAGATGATGATTTCGTGCCATTAATCACCACACACTGCTTGCGGTCATGTAGAAAGACTTCTATCCACGCTAGGACATTTCCTCGAATTCCGTACCCTTCCAGTTTGATTTTCAGCCTTCATGGAGTACACTGTCGAAAGCCTTGGGCAAATTTAGGTATATATTGTCGACATTACCACCCAGTTTTAGAATATGGGTCCAAATATCCAATACCTTGAGCAATTGTGTTAAGCAGGAGCGCCCCGGCATAAAACCGTGTTGGCAATCCTTTACAAGGTTGTTTCGTAGTAGATGTTTCATCGCGGCATCTCTGATAATGCTCTCAAGTACTGTTACCGCAAGCGGTACTGAGTATGAAGACACATAAACAAACATTATGTTAGGCTGTAAGTCATGTCATGTTTATTGGGTGTGCCTGCCGTATACAGTATGTAGAGTGTTGAGATGGAGGCAGACGAAAGACCTAGAGTAGGTTGAGGTGTTGGGTGGTGTAAGGGGATCTTGTTTGCGTATAACAAACCTGACGCAGCGAGTTTGAATATGTGAGTGCCCGGCAGGGCACCACTTCCTCACTGTAGCTATCCCCATCATAGTGCCAACACGTAACTTGTTTCTCCTGAAGACTTTCAACAAGTAAGTTTAACTTGTACTTGTTGTGTACACAGGTAGACTGTTTCCATTGCATCGTTTATCATTGTGACGACATAAAAATATGACAAATTAAGTACTCATTGTAAGTGTTAAGATTAGACTAATTACATAGCTATGATTGTTATGTAAATATATATTGGATTAAACATTTAGTATGATTGCCTACGTATGATTTATTTGAAATACTAAAATGAATTATATTCAACAGGTTTGACCGAATTAAAATGTTTTGGTTTGACATGACGAGTCTGAATAATCCTTTAACCGCCCTGATTGGCGGTTACAAGTACTTTACATATTATGCTGGTCAGGCTCACCGGTCTATAGTTTTTCGTGGAGTGACGATCCCCCTTCTTGAAGATAGGACTCACATAATCCACTTTCCAATCACTGGGGACCATTTGTTC